CATTATACAGTGGCATTAAGTGCCGAAATGTGCACCTCTGCCTACCCCTTCGGGGATAAAAAGGCGTGATGTTATGATGATGACCTTTCTTAAGAATCACTCTATATATTAAAAAAAATCGCATCAAAATCCGTTGCGTAGTATCAAAGATCTAAGCATGCATAGGGACAAACAGACGGTGGATAGCGACTTTGTTTTATACTATGTAGTGATGACAAGTTAATTGCTGGGTTGGAGCCGTGCCGGAGCCGTGTTTATTAGCTGTGCGATGACCGTTATTCAGCAGTGAACTTCATCCGGCTGATAACGATGGCTACATTGTGCTTTACTCTATAGTAATTGTTTATGGTCCACAGATAATATTAGATATTAAGTATTCTATCATTTCAGCAAAATAACTGTCTGTGGACCATGGACAAGACTTCATTTTTTAGCTTATATTTTATTTTATTTTTATTTTTTAATTATGTTATGTGTGTTCTGCGCAAAAATAAATGGTTTTTCTTTCTTTCTTTCTTTCTTTCTTTCTATAGCCATCTTCTTTTTTTATATATTTGATGGATCGACGTTTGACCACTATCTCGCCTGTTGGTAAGCGATGATGCGGTAGGTATATGATGACGTGTTCCATGCACGTCGTCATTATACACCATTTTCTCCATGCTAGTAAGGCAAAGTGAAAAGAAAGCAATTTAAACAGTTCTGGTTTATCAGGAGCGCTGCTGTCCGATGTTAGGCAGCTCTTACAACAGAATAAGCAGAGGTCTTAGTACGATTTTGTTATACGTTTAAAGTAATCGAATCCGCGTTCGGCGCTCTGATTGGCTGACTCGAAAGAACCAACTAATCAGAGCGCCGAACGCGGTCTAGTTTTGATTCCCTTAAATCACCAAGCGGTCACCGGCGACCGCTCTCCACTAACTACATTATAGACCTTATTTCCAATTCTTAGAGACTACTTTTGTATGAATATGAACAAATTTAGGGGATGATATTCCAACGTAAAACAAACTCGTAATAAGCCCTCTGATTGGTTGGTTCATTGGAGCCGGAGAGTTGGGTGGTGACTTTAACTAATGTATTTAATATTGTCATCGACAGACCTCATTTTACTAACGAGCTACTTTAACTATATTCTCTTCAGCATCGCAGACGTTGCAAATATTCTGGTGGAAGATATCGGGCGGTGAGATCGGGATCACATATTGTGTCTGGATGGTCATCCTGGGCTTGTTGCTATGTCCTGTGATGTGGCTCGGCTCGCCCAAGGATATGAAGTAAGTATTAGGATTATAAGACCGGTTGGCAATATATTAAAGAAGCTACAAATTAAAAGTACCCTTAATGTTGATGAAACGAAAGAGGTATGTAGGAATCGGCGTTATATAGTCTCTGTCTACCCCCATGGGAGACAGGCATGGAATTATGTTATGTATTTGTTTGATATCTAAATACCTCTATTTTTAAACTTTTATTTTTTCCTATCTATATACGGTATGCATTACATACCAAATGATTTGGCTGTACACACGATGCGTTAGTGTATTTGTTTAAATTATTATTTTTTTTATTTTAACTTTTCATTTATTTTGTAAAATTATTGTTTGTTTACCTAATTAATAATTTGTTAATGTCTTATTGGTGGCTTGTTCGTCCGCTAGTCACGTGAGGAGCCAGTAGAATACCAGCGCAAGGCCCTGTCTTGCTCATGCTGAACTTGTCCCATTTCATGGCAGACTTGAGACATGAACATGTATCCATCAGTACCTACTAATACAATAACTTTTTTGTACATGTCCCTTGTTTTTTGGCGTGAAATAAAGTTTTTTCTTTATTTCTATAAGTACCCATAAAGCTATGGACTCATTTTTTGCAAAGCAATCACTCAAAATTGTGTCTTTTTTAGGCCAATAGCGATAACTTCAGTAATAATTGTGACCACTGTCGCAATAACTACATGGACTTGTATCCTACGAGACGACACCTCCCCAATGCCAACGTCCAACGTGGTAGACTTAGAACCACAACTACAGGAATTCTTAATAGCATACGGCATACTTGCATTTCAGGTGAGGCATTCAAATTTCCGTAAGCGTAGGTATTTAACAGAGACCGGGTAAATCTAATTCTTTTGAAATGCGTTCTTAGACTCGCCTGGCAAGCGTCTTTTGAAACAAACCGTATTTAAAAGCGTTATTTCAAAGCGTCTTTTGAATGGAGTTTCTTGATCGTTCTTCTCCATTCGAATCTACATTTTGGAATGAGCACCTAGCTTCACCTACCTTTACTGACGGATTGACTGACAGATTATTATTTATTTTGTATTTGTTGACGTTTCAAAACTACCAAATTATGGTTTAATTGAAATAAATGGTTTGACTTTGACTTTGATTTTGATCCATCTTATATAGAGGAGGAACACACCTGATAATCCTGATATTCTTTTCTTATGAGATATGGCGACAAACGAACAGATGGATCACCTGATGGTAAGCAATGAGCGCCTTTGCACACTCGCAACACCAGAAATAAATCTGCTTTGCGAGCCTTTTGGGATTAGACATTTACGAATTGGGCTTTCGATAACCTTAGACACAGACACAGCGTCCCATAAGCAAACTATTCACTAGGGCCTAGAAAACACCCAGGAAACCCTTCAAGAAATATAGACTCTAGCAAAGAATTCCACTCCTTAGCAGTACGCACAAGGAAGCTTAATGCAAAGCGCATTGTGCGTGTGGATGGGATATCTACCATGAATCGGTGACGCTTCGCCGATTGTCTTGTTGTACGATGATGAAAAAGGCCAGGGGAATCAAGTTGTGCTTTTACATTTGATTTATTTCTAGTTTGACATCCACCCAATGTTGTTGACGCTGCAAGTGGACATGAAAGACAGTAAGAAGATCAATTCTGCAGTGCTGGGAGGTTTCGGAATCACTGGGTGCATGTTTGCAATCACCGCCGTCCTCTCCGCCTTCCGATATGGAACTGATCTTGACAACAATATACTGCAGAGTAAGTACCTATCTTTTGAGTTTTCTCTATGGGGTACAGCATGAAATTTCTTACGAGATAGGGCGGCAGACATGTGAACGGATTACCTTGGTAAGTAATTGGCACCACCAGTGGACAACCGCACCATCAAAAGAGGTACGAGTGCGTTGCCGGTCTTTTCGGATATGGGAAGCAGGGATGGCCTCCGGTAACCCCTCTGTTATACCGCAAAACACAACACAAATGTTGCCTCACCCCGGTTTTCTACCTTTTGATTTGTAGAGGGGGTCCATCCAGCAGTGGACTGTCACAAGCTATTGATATAATTGATTAAAAACCGGTAAAATAGATATTTTAACTTTTATCTGTTGAAACACCGGCTCCCGATATAAAACACATTATACCCGCAACTTTCTTTGTATGTTGCATTTGAACTAAACTTAACTATACATTTCGTGCAGGTATTCCGTCCTCAATACCGCTGTACCTGATGTCACTGCTGGTGACTCTTCAGCTGTGCTTGTCGAGCGCAGTCAGTCACTCAGCTCTGTTCCAACATATAGAAGACTTAATGAATATTCCTAGAGGTAACACATTTTATATCCTGCTTTTGTACTTACACAATCTCGTCATTTTTATGTTTTAAACAGATAATAGAAGCATAATTAATTTTTGTTACAGATTTCTGCTTTCAACGCTGCCTAATAAGATCGAGCATCGTAGCTGTGGGAGTAATTCTAGCGGAATCTGTACCCCGATTTGATTTAGTTATGGGTCTCGTGGGTTCCACACTCACTGGTCCGTTAATGTTCATCTGTCCTCCCGTATTCTTCCTCAAACTGTGCTACATGAAATCCAAAATGTCTCCAAAACATAATCCTTTTTATAAACTACTGGAGAAACAAAACAGAACTCAAAACGGTAGTTCACATTCCCAAAATGGTGGCACTAAAGGTGACAGTTTACAAAATGGTGGCACTCAAAACGACAGTTCTCAAGATTCTCAAAATGGCGATCTGTCAAAAAGCCCGCTAATTTATGTCGGGTCATCGACCAAGTACAAAACGTTCACAGATTATGCTATAGAAATAATGAAAGAAGAAGATGAATACGCGATCAAATGGTACGATGTTGTTTTAGCTTTAATTGTGATGACCATTGGAGTTGTAGCGACCATAGTGGCGACTTATTCAAGTTGGGCGAACTCTATAGCTTATGCCACGTTTAGTCCCCCATGTTTGATGAACGCTACAGAAGCTGCCAGAAGCTTTTTGCAGCTACCTATGTCTGTATGAAAATCAATAAAGAATATGTTGATAAGTATTGAGTTTTTCACTTCTTCAGTATTTTTATTATAAAGTTTCCTTTAAAACATTGTTAAGTAAGTACCAATAATTGAGGAATAACAAGTTTGCATTTTAATCATGACTCGCGCTAAGTAATGAATTTTTGAGACAGCGCCTCTGAGGTGTAATTTTACAAGTTCGACTCCCCTAATGATTCGACATTTAAATGAATATTCTACTAATTGGTCTTGGACTTATTGGACTTTCAGCTGCAATGGCGCGGAAACTATAAACAATTTTTTTTTTACAATAAATAAAATTAAAATACATTTCATACTACATGAAGTCAAAATAAACAGTTTTGCAACAAATACATGTAAATAGTAAGTGCCTCAGACCAAAATATAATACTCATTAGATTAAAATTGAAAAAATAAAAACGCCTATAATCGAATTGTCTTTTATTCAACATTACAATCACAATAGATACATACCTAATTGATTATAACAACATTTTCTCAGTCATTCAGTACAAGTTCAACTTTAAACATTTTATAGGAACAACGTAAACTAAATCGTTTTTAACCTACTATCGCTCAAAGGGATACACAGATAAATTAAAAATAGAAAACCAAGCTATTTTCCTATGACGAGGGCCTAGTGCCAGTTTGTTTTACGGTAACGCAATAGAATAGACACGTTTTAAATATTACGTAACTGAGAACGAACTTATAAAATATGTAACTACGTAAAATAATAATAATAATCCATTAAGCATTTTTCCACATTGAACTCTATAATATTGTACCGGAGGCATAACTATTATATATTACTTTTTTTTTTTTTATTTAAGGGGGAAAATCATCGAATGACTGGGTGAGGCGGGAGGGAGTGTCAGGCTATTACTGACTAAAAACCACCCCGTTCCTTCTCCTGCACGTCGAGCCGGAGCCCCGGTTACCCGTTAGGATCTATTATATATTACTTACCTATAAGTTAGGTCAGTCAGTAGTTAGTTCGGTTAGGTAGGTAGAATTGACGTTCAACGCTCTGATTGGCCTGCTTCGATTAACCGATCTATCATAGGGCTAAATGTGGCTAACGTAAAACAAAACTAGCACTAGGCCCTTAGATAAGAAAATATAGATAGATTCAGTACAGAGACAGTCATCATTGGTCGATTGCTGAGCCGTCAGCCGACCAATGGTTAGAAAAGTAATGGCTTCGTTAAAAACCATACTATAGTATAAAAATAGCTAGATACTATATCTGTAGGTACAGAATCAATCTTTACTTTCTTACCCGAATACTAAGTACTAACCAATTGTATACTGCACATTAAATTTTTACAAACACTGGTACCTATTTGTAATTACGAAAACAAATGATAAATAAAACCTATCATTTGGACGTCGGTTAAAAATGATAATATATGAGTTATACTCGATAGTAACAATTTGAATAAAAATGCATCGCTTGTAAGTACCTTTTCCATGTCCCTGTTAAATGCAATGACATCCTTTCTTTGAAATGCCTATACAAATCTATTGTTATATAATCTGTGCCGTTATATTCTTAAAAAAATAAAAATATATATATATTATCAATGGTTTCACAAAAATAAGCACTAAAAAGGTTAGATGTTAAAAAATACTACAAATATCTAGGACAATCAAAAAACAATTTAAATAAGACGTAATTATTATGTTGTTAATGTTACATCAAATAATTTGGATACATAACATCACGTCTATTATTCGCGAAAGGGTAGGCACTTGATGTCACTATACAATATAGGTATCACCCATTTTTCACTAGTTATGTTATGAGTAGTGTAATAGGCTTTAAGCCTATTGCCATATACCGGGCACAATTCCAGACTCCGCGCTACTATTGAGATTTTTTTTTAAATCCCAGTTATACTTTGCACAACCCAGGAATCGAACCCGAGACTCATTGCTCAGTAGTCGCTCTTGCGACCACTCGGCAAACGAGCTAAAATCCTTCATCCCCTAAAAGAGGAGGTAAATAGAGTGGTACGTTCAAATGAAATACCCACTAAACTTTTGTTTATAGATTTTTTTTAGGAGGAAAATCATCGAATGGCTTCTCCCACCTGGGTGAAGCGGGAGGGAGTGTCAGACTCTTACTGACTAAAAACCACCCTGTTCCTTCTCCTGCACGTCGAGCCGGAGCCCCGGTAACTTGTTTATAGATTATGAGTCTGTTTTACGTTTACGGAGTTCGAAAAGACACCGAGTTCGATGCTCTAATTGGCCTGTTCTAGTGAACCAGCCAATCAGAGCGCCTAACGCGGTTTAGTTACGATCTCGTTTAACATAAAACAAACTCGTACTAAGCCTACCACTGATCCAACTCAACATCATAGTGACGGCAAACTTTATGGTCATTGGACGCTAATATAATTTATGTCCAAGGATCATTGGACTTTATTTTTTAAAGTAATGGAAAATTTTAATTTGCTCTATTTTAGCGCCATTGGTTGAGCGTAAAAACTGCAACTCATTGACGTTACCCCTTTCCAAATTATTATTAAGAATTTACAAAAAGAACATAATATTGCTCTATCCATTAAGTTAAAACGATCAACTTAAAAATAACCTATAAATTAATTAACAATTTTTTAAGTAACGAAACATTATTATTATGCTTTCATTTTAAATATACTTCTAAAACTAATCTCTTAATAAAAATATAAGTATAGGATTAAGAAACCTGATTGTGCACGCTTATAGTTCATTCAAGCGATTTTCGAATCTGTACCGTAAACATAAAATTGGTATTTGAAGCAACGGTATTGTAGTTTTACGTTCTTTGTGTTACAAGCGTAAAAATACAATAAAGACTTCATCCTGTTCAACAAATGACACAAACTAGTCAAATCGAGTGATTAAAAACGTCAATCTATGCGTTTGACTAATGGCCGAAATTAATAATAGATGTTAATCCAAAATCTGTGTATGAAGGCTAATTTTTAATAGAAACTTCTATGAAACAAGTAATTTAACTAAAAACCGCGGGTTACTTACGTGAATATACTGAAAATAGCTCTACTAGTTTCGAGCTACAGCGGGGCTCTTCCTCATGAACAGCTTGCACGGCCGCGGCGATGTCGCGCAGCCTACTGCCTCAGCATTTTCATGCGAATAACCCGCGATTTTTAGTTAATTTACTATGTCTCACGATACTTATTATAGAAACAAGTGATGTCAAAAATTGACACATATCCACAGATAAGACAAAGATGTTGAAAATAAACGGACGTGGTCTCTTGAAATAATGACTGTGGCACCAGTGCCTTTAGCCAAACGCCACTTCAGCGCTTGTCTACAGAGAGAGTAGAAATCAAAATGTATGGGGATGACACTGACAAGTGTCAAATTTACGTCAATTGTATTTAGTTTGGTTTTCTATTCTACATGTAGACAAGCTCTACATGGCATTTAGCTACAGATGCTTGCTATTATAGAGTTACACGCAGAACATAAACACATTGACACGAAGGACATCTGTCAATATCGTAAGTCTGGTAACGTGGTCACCCATTACACACGCACACATAAATAAAACCACTGACATTTTGGTGCCTCATTTCTAAGTGACAATATGGACATATTGTTCCTTTTCGTTCAACTTCCTTGGATTTTGAATTAGTTATTAACACATTGGATGCTGTATCGGATAATGATGTCCGACCCTACCGGAGGATTAGCCTTTAATAGTTTTTATCGGCAGTTAAAGACTTAATTTCGATTGAAAATCTGTACATCCGATTGACGTTTCTATCACTCGCTACCGACCTACGATCCAAAGTTCAATAAAAGACATGTTCATTGGACAAAAGTAACGCAACACAAAGAGTCTACTTCTTCGGCATAACTAATTGCTTACCAAAGGTTTGCCTTATGACTTTCTTATCCAGTTTACCCATCGCGTTTCTAGGCATTTCATTTGTAACAAGCAGAGTTTTAGGTAGCTGATATGGAGCTAGTTTCTTCCCAGCAGCTTCTTTTAACTCTTGAAGAGTTAGTTTAGCATTTTCTTTAAGTACCACCACTGCTGAAACGATTTCTCCGTAGTTTTCATCTTCGATTCCAAGTACGGCTGCGTCAGCAATACTAGGGTGGTCTAAGATGGCGCTCTCTACTTGCAAGGCACTTACTTTGTATCCTCCTGTTTTGATTATGTCTACTGATGTGCGTCCCAATATCCTGAACTTGCCGTCTTCGAAGGATGCTGTGTCTCCTGTACGGAACCAGCCGTCTTCTGTGAAGTCTGACGCGTTTAGTGTCGGGGACCGGTTCCAGTATCTATAACAATAGTTAAGTGTAGTCAGTCAGTGTCCTTTATATGTACACGTACAGAGCCTAGCAGATCAAGATACTCCATTTATTTTTATTACACTATAAAGTCGAAAGACTTTATATCAAAACACTAAAGTTGAAAATCAAAGAAATAAAGACAGAAAGGAGGATTAAGTATTTCGAGTAGAGAACGCAGTAGATAAAGTGAGATAAGAAAAATCATAACTAACTTTGCCATTTGACATTGATAATATAATGATGTGTGTTTCACACCTGTTTAGGTAATGTTTTATTAAACACATGGCTAACGTATTAATTATACTTTCTAAAATATTTTGAGGACGTTATTTCTCGTATATTTCAATCAATTTTTTAAGAAATACATATTTAACGACTAACTAGCTAGCTACGGGTAGAATATGGTTCCTGTTTAATCTGGGGAGGAGCATTTAATCAGGATAAAAAGTATCCTATCACCTAAGTCAGCCTATAAATCCGTTCAGTAGCTTCAGCGTGATTGACGGAGAAACATGCAAACAATGATACTTTGACTTTTATAATATTATAGTGTGAAGTGTGGTGTTATTTGACCAATTTATAAAGAAATATGTAGGTGTGCTTATTGATGTAAAAACTATGACATTATAATTTAGGTGCAATCTTGTATAAAATTCATGGAAATCAAGTTGGAATCGTGGGTAAAAAGGAAATTATTGAATCTTTTAATTATGTCATACACGCACGAGAAACGGATCGAAAAAAAAAAACACAAATACGGACAAAAATCTGTTATTTTTATATTGTTGGTACAGATATTGGTAGACCAATAAAAAAACAAAGAACACAAAGGATAGGTAGACTAGGAAATAGTGAGAATTTGGTAAGCAGTGGAGTATATTTAGAAGTATCGAGCGCCGAGTGACGTGTGACGTACTGCGTCAGTATACGCTAGCCAAGGTAACGCATCCGTACGTACGTCAGCACTCACTTAGTGTATACTTCCCTTTTATACAAATAGCTTATAAAAATCTTGTCATATTCGACTTTATGTTCCTCATGTTCTTGACCATATAACATAATTTATCTTAGAAAGTAATTTAAAATTTAATAAACCATACTCCCCAACTCCATATACTCAAATCCCTGTCGCCCAAACTGCAACGCACTTGATTGCGTGGCGCCGATTGCTTACCATGAGATGATCTGGATGTTTATTTGCCGGCTTATCCCTAAAAAATGGGCCTGCGGACGTCGAGCATGGGTGGCTCACCGTCCGACCAAAACCAGACCCGAGCGTATGGCGCGTCGCGTTCCGCGCGCGCCTCAAAGTGCCATCAGACCACCACGGATGGGGCCCAACAGGGCTGATGCCGATTCGAAGTCGCGGAGAACCTAACGGGTTACCAGGGCTCCGGCTCGAAGCGCAGAAGAAGGAACGGGGTGGTTTTTATAGTCAGTAAGAGTCTGACACTCCCTTACGCCTCACCCAGGCGGGAGCAGTCATTAGATGATTTGCATCCCTAAAAATAACTCGAGAGATGGAATATAGAACTTTACTCTCATCAAATGTGTAAACAACTCATAGACCAATAGGGAAGTCGGAAATGACAGATTCTGACTATAGTCTAAAATTAGTTTTTATCGTACACTGAACTGTACGTCATAGTCATAGAAAACGGCTTCACCTTGACTGATTGCGCAGGCGCCGCCGAATTAGCATTACAAATATATAAACATAATTAAATGCAATCTAAAACTGTAAGACTGGTTTTTTTAATATTATTCTGCCATATTGTTTACTAACGATATTTTTTGTATTGTTTATTTATTGTGGCGATTAGAAAGTAGCTCGGTAGAAGTAGATTTAAATTTATTATATTATTAAACCTTGTGTATTTTAGAACTGAAATTAATATTCGATTTTATTAGTATGCATAAGTGAACAGCATGTGTTTTTTTTTACTTTAGTAAGTTCTGTAAATTGTATTATGCGTCAAGCGTGTCTTTACATTGTTCTCGCATATATGTACCATATTGGATAACGTATCGGAGAGATTATAAAACATATATTTTTTTAAAGTAATAAATGGAGTCTCTTGCTCGTTCTTTTCCATTAAGTACAATCTACATTTTGGAACGAAGGATAGATTGACAGATTATTATTTATTTGGTATTTGTTGACGTTTCAAAAATACAATTTTTTGTAACTTAATGTTTTCTGTGAAAGAGATTAATCTTGCACAAAGATTTGCATTTATAAAATAAGTTGGATATAGAACATAGGGTCACTAAAAATGCTTCGTTCTTCTATTATAGTACCGTTTTTTTACGACGGGATAAACCTTCAAACGGCGCCTAGCTTTTTGGGGATAAATGACGAGTGAGTGTGGGATTTATATCTCACTAAAACCACCCTTGTAGCCACCCTCAACATCTGCATGGAGGCACCGGGTCCTCTAATAGAGACCTGCTCCGGAGCCTCCACGGTGCAACGCCTGTTACGACACATCCCTAGGCAGACGGGTGTCTCCTTTAAGCCTTGTTGTTTACGGCGGCACGTAACCACTGTGCCACCGTTTTCCCTGAGACCACAGAGTGCGCACCTCACCGCAGCTCTACGCACCCGTAGCCCCAAACTATTATAGTACCTACTATCGCAAAATACCCTCAATGCTAGAAGGTTATAACTTATTGAATGCAATTGTATTACTGATTTTTTTATACTTCATAGATCAGCTTTTGGTACTCGTCACTACGGGATGCTACCAGCTTCCTCAACATTTTCAGGACCCTAACTAAGTTACTAATCCCCAAATCGCTTACCAAGTGTGGAGATAATGCAAATATACTTCAATGATCGAGGCCTTTGTTCAATCGTGGAAATATTTCGATTGATGATGGTTGTTGAATGAACGGAAATTTGAATGGATTAGCATAATAGTACTATCATTGACGTAATAAATAAAATGGTCGGTAAAAATAGTATCAATAATAATTAATAAACTTAATACATAGATGCTGACGCCACGGAAACAATTATATTGTAGTATTAACATTTTAAAATAGTTAAATTCAACGCATGTTCTTGCACCCGCTGATTATTTTCTCTGCATCACCCAAAGTTCAGACTGGTAGAAAATGCCTGCGGCGGCTGTTTGTGTGCATAAAGCTTTTTAAATAAATAAATAAAATAAAACATTTTAGGGAACAGAGAGCAGAGATTCATAAGATCGGAAAAGTAAGATACTCCAACCGGGCGAGGGGTTCGTGCCTGGCGGGCTTTCTGTCCGACAGTCGTTCGTTGGGATATTCTGTTCATGTTAATTCAAATGTGCGATGTACGATTTTGTGACGTCATCCGTTGAATTTTATTTCTTCGATAGTCTTTGTGCGTGAGCTGTCATTTGTCACGTGTCATGGTCGCCACAACATAACATAACAGCACCATGCATACAGCTCCTTTATGGGGTAAATGGATGCTTCCTAAAATCCCTAACTTTTTAAGATCAGAAGTCCCTGTTATGTTGGCGGATTGTTAAATTATAGTCGGATTTATTTTACTTGGATTTATTACAGTAATGTGCAGGGCGCACGACGTGTACACACACTAGAGTATGACGGGTAGACAGCAACGTTAATAACGAGTGTTCTACCTTATATAACACATTATAGTAAGGGGGCCACTACTTACTAATTAGTGATGTTGATATAGACTAAACATACATGTAACAGTCCCAATGACTGAAATAATGTAAGACACGTGGAATACATTTCTTACACCTTTAGACCTACTTTCCGAGAGAACCTAACGGGTTACCGGGGCTCCGGCTCGACGTGCAGGAGAAGGAACGGGGTGGTTTTTAGTCAGTAAGAGTCTGACACTCCCTCCCGCCTCACCCAGGCGGGAGCACTCATTCGATGATTTTCCCCCTTAAAAAAAAAGACCTACTTTCCGTGTCCACAACGCGTTAGGAGGTATTCCTCGTAGCGCTCCCGTTTTGAAGCGCACCCATCTAAGCGCTCCCGTTTTGAGGAACGATTAAAAATATTAAAAGCGGCCAATAAAACAAAAAAAAAAATACAATAAAACAAAAAAATAATAATTACCAAAGACGTGCGAAGCCGGGACGGGCCGCTAGTTATATATTATAACAATGTTTTCTACTTATTACCTAGTTCTTATCGATAATTTCAATTAGTAAAGTCCCATTTCTATCCGAAAGTGAATCATGGGAGCGCTTCGAGGAAATAAATTTTAATATTTTTAATCGTTCAGGAATACCTCCGCGTTAGTGGTGAATGCATGCAACCTACAAACGATTATAGCCTACCCATGCGTTGCCGCTTCGCGGACAGTTTTCATTCTTACTAATTAGACGCAAGGATTTGTGATTGTAGGCCGCCTATTGTCATTTGTAGGTTGCATGCATTCGCATGCATGACGCATCTTGGACAACAAGCCTTAAGCTTACCGCGGTTACCGCAAAAGAATAAACACATGTGACAAAGATGGAACAGCGGTAACCTCAATCTACAGTAGATTTAAGTGTGGGAGAGCTATGCTTCGGCACGAATGAGCCGGCTTGACCGGAATGATACCACGGCCTCACAGAAAACCGACATGAAGCAACGCTTGCGTTGCGTTTCGTCGTGTGAGTGAGGTTACCGGAAGCCTAGCTTCCTCCCCCCTTCTCCAATCTCCCCAATCCCTAATCCCCAAAAGGCCGGTAACGCACTTTTAACGCTTCTAGTGTTCCAGGTGTCCATGGGCGACGCCGATTGCTTATCATTAGGTGATTCATCTGCTCGTTTACGGCATATGCCATAAAAAAAAAGATTATGGCAAACCCTCTTATTTAGACGAGGTCTATATTCCAGCAGTGGCCCATTACGGGTTGCTGATAATGGTTTTGTAATCAAACACTATTCATGTAATGTATTTGAAAAAAAAAACTTATTTGTATAAAAGGGAAGTATACACTAAGTGAGTGCTGACGTACGTACGGATGCGTTACCTTGGTTAGCGTATACTGACGCAGGAGTACGTCACACGTCACTCACTATTTCCTAGTCTACCTATCCTTTGTGTTTTTGGTTTTTTGTTGGTCTACCAATGTTAGTATCAAAAATATAGGTAAAAAACGGGGTTTTTGTCTGTATTCGTTTTATATGTGTCATCTATATTGTAGGTGCATTTGTTAAATATAAATATTCAATAATATGTATAGTTTAATTATATTATAAGCGTAAGAGGTATGTAAGAATCGTAGTAATTGGCGTTCCTTAGTCTCTGCCTACCCCCACGGGAGACAGGCGTGAAGTTGTGTATGTATGTGTAATTTATTTATTGAACCCCAGGATCCATGGTTTATTGAGTATGAATATAATAAGGATTTATCTTAATTGAAATATGGCTGATTCGCGTGACCTTTTCGAGACAAGCTCTACTATTTTCAAGTCAAACCGGGACTCATATAGAGAACCGAAGGCCATTCGGTGACTCAAACCTGTGCACAAAACTATGTCATTATGAATAATAACGAGGAAGAAAGTATATCTATGCTAAACTACACTTTACAACGAGCAAATAGCGTCACTAAAAAACAGAAACTTTTTATTTTGTTTGTCATTCAAAATGCCTTTTTCTATATTATTGAAAAAAACAACCCGTTGAAGATTGTTGAAAATCATCCCCTAAATTTGTTCATACAAAAGTAGTCTCTAAACATTGGAAATAAGGTCTATAATGTAGTTAGTGGCAAGTGGTCACCGGTGACTGCTTGGGGATAAAAGTAGTCTCTAAACATTGAAAATAAGGTCTATAATGTAGTTAGTGGCAAGCGGTCACCGGTGACTGCTTGGGGATATACGAATTCTGGTTTAAATCCAAACCCGTAGAGTTCTTCTCGAATAGTGATATGTTCCGTGAATTTAGTATATCCCAAGACAGTTATTATACAAAAAAGGTACTTACCTAGTGAATACAGCGGGTCCCTTTATAAGCAGTTCTCCATGGTACACATTGTCGGTAAGTTCCTTGTGTTTAGTGACTGTTGGGGCCTTCCACTCATATTTGTCAGAGTCCACGAACAAATCCTTTGATGACAACCCGAGACGGTCTAGGCATATCTACGAATAAATTATAGCGTTAATAACCCTAGTCTGATCCAATAATTTTATCGAAATCGAAAAGTATACCTATATAGTATTTATTTTTTGATATGACTAGCTTCTGCACGCGACTTCGTACGCGCAATACAATTTTTTCCGGTAAAAAATAACAAACTTTTCGCAGTATATTCACGTAAGTAACCCGCGATTTTAGTTAATTTAGTATGTCTCACGATAGTTATTATTAATTTTATTGTAAAATTAAAAGTAATACCTATGTATAAATGCTTACTTAGATAATAATATTAATTACAAAAAAAGATATATTGCATACCTGTGTCTCTGGTACCGGAGTCTCAACAGTTACCAAAGGTTCAAGTTCCCCGGTGTCCTCTCGTTGTGAGACTATTCTCGCAGAGACTCCCGGTAGGGGGAGCCCCACGCACCCTACACTGCGAGCCTCCACCGGCCGGTAGGGGTTACTTAACGCCATGCCCACTTCAGACATACCAAATCTTTCGAGAAGACGCATGCCAGATATCTAGGATAAAAAATCTGATATTAGTATTTTATAATTATAAAATGTTTAAAATTGTCAAAGGTATAGAGGTATAAAGCAGAAGAGTTTGTTCTTTTGTTTGTTTGTTTGAACGCGCTAATCTCCGTAACTACAAGTCTGATTTGAATAATTCTTTTTGTGTTGGATAGTGCATTTATCGAAAACGGCTATAGGCTATAAAACATCACGCTACGACCAATAGGAGCTGAGCAGAGCGTGTGAAACCGCGCGGAAGTAGCTAGTATTTTTCCCGGCAAACTTCGTATTGCCTAAAAATTATTTTCATACCTTTTAAACCTACCCTGGACTTCCACGAACATTTCAAGAGCACAATTAGCGAAATTGGTGCAGCCGTTCTAGAGTTTTAACGAGACTAACGAACAGAAAATCATTTTTATTTATATAGATAGATAGATAGATAAAGTACTTAAGATTATATTTGATGTAGTCAATGTTTCGAAAATCCGATACACAACACACTGTATTACAGTTACGGGGTGTCCTGCGTGAGGGACAAATATGGAGCAACGTGTCGCTTGTATAGTAGAACTAGGAACATCCACCATGCACAGATTCACTCGCCGTGCTCGGCGCTTATGGACCGTAGCATGATGTTTTATAGCCTATAAGCTTCCTCACTGAATGGGCTATCCAACACAAAAATATTTTTTGAAATCGAACCAGTAGTTACTGAGATTGGTGCGTTCAAACAAACAAACTCTTCAGTATATACCGATATATCCCCAAGCGGTCACCACTCTCCACTAACTACATTATAGACCTTATTTCCAATATTTAGAGACTACTTTTGTATGAACAAATTTAGGGGATTATTATAAACGGGTGTATATAAGATTTAAAAAAATAAGTTGAAACGAACCTCCTCCCATTTCAAAAACAGTTGAGCCGGTAACGGAGCAGACCCAGCACACATCAGTCTCATTCTACTGCCTAGCGTAGTACGAACATACTCCGCAGTCTTCGAGTCAGAGAACATTCTGTCATAGTCAGCGACCAGTCTCGCGTACATAGCAGGGACACCGTGAAAGACTGTTACTTTAGTCTCATCCCGCTCCCCCATGCCCAGTAGACGAGACCAGACGTTGTGAGACACGAAAGACGGTAGCATTCTGAGCCTGTTGGAAATATATTATTATGACAATTGCATTAAACAATTTTGAATCGGTATGTACTGAACAAGTTCTGGATTCAGTATTCATTGTGATGTGAGATGTCAATTTGAACTCTCGAAGTGAGCTCCATCGCCGTCCGGCATGTCATTGGTCGTGAGAATCGACCATTTTTTTAGAGGGGAAAATCATCGAATGTCTTCTCCCTGCTCCCACCTGGGTGAGGCGGGAGGGAGTGTCAGACTCTCACTGACTAAAAACCACCCCGTTCTCTCTCCTGTACTTCGAGTCGGAGCCCCGGTAACCCGTTAGGCCTTCCGTGGCTCCGTATTAGGTAATAGCCCTATTGGACCTCATCTGTGGTAGTCTTATGGCTCGTTGGGCGCTCGAGCTCACTTCGCGAGTTCAAATTGACATCATACAGAGTATTCAGTATTCAGGCTATTGTCTAGCAACACTAAAAAAAACCAAAGATGATTACTTTTACGTAATGAACCAGCAATAGGGTAGATGTCCAATTTTTATTTTAATGTCCGTCTGGTAGATTATTTTAAAACATTAACACGTGTTTTTTATTTTTCTTACAGTAAACGAAACGAATACTTTTGACGATATATTGATTTGAAATGTTGCGTGACGTCATTTCTATGTACATTTTATACGTAGAAATGACGTTTTAGCTCCCATTCTTAAACTTTAATTCATTTTATCTAAGTATTATTTTATTATACGACAAAATAAAAAAATAAGTGTCTAGTATTTTTTAATTACCTAACTGACGGACTAAATAGATTTTTAATTTTCATACCCTGTCATCATCCCTATTGCGATTATCTTTTACTAACTTTCTGCCCGCGGCTTTGGCCACGTAGTTAATTAGTTCATACATACAGACAGAAGTGAAATGGGACTACTTTTTAATCGACGTCAAAAAATGAGATTGTAAAACTTTATAGGCTGTAAGTATCATTATTATCATTAACGGCCTATAAGTGGCCACTGCCGACTAAAGCACCTTCTCGTACGGAGGTTTGACCATTAATCACCACGCTTGCTCAATGCGGATTGGCGATTTTAAACTTATATTCAAAAAACGTATATGTAATGCCTCTGGTGTTACAGGTGTCCATGGGCGAAGCCGATTGCTTACCATCAGGTGATCCGTCTGCTCGTTTACCGGCTTATGCCAAAAAATAAACATTGTCCTACATTAGGATTTTCTCCTGCGTCGTGGGTGCGTTTACAAACATACAAGTTCACATACACAATGACACCCAGACACAAAACAACAATTTGTGGATCACACAAAGTGTTGTTCCGTGCGGGGATCGAACCCGCGACACGTTGCACGGCAGCCCAGCCACCGCACCAACCGTGCAGTCAAGTATTAGATATTATAAGCCAAAGTTTCCTCACGATTACCCTCACCGTTAGTCAGTGGTGTCTAGATAATCTTAGAAAGTAAATATAACTCGGAAAACGTCACTAGACTTGGGTAGTTCACGAACAAAAGACAAAAATGAACTAGTTCATTCGTCACATTGGTACGTTACGAACTCGCCCTCTCATGAGAAGTGCCATCTGAAACCTCAGGGCCACCACAGCAGGATATAGATAAATATTAACATGTTCTATAATAAGACTTACCTGGCACCAGCAGCCAAAGACGCTAGCATAGAGTTGAGCTGACCATGTATGTGATGTAACGGCAACGTGTGTAATACCACATCGTTGGCTGAGTACTGCCACGCGGAGTGTAACGCTGATATTTGTGTCTGAAGCATACTGTGGGTCCATACTACTCCTTTCGGCTTACTTGTTGTTCCTATTCAACACATTGTATTAGAATAAGCAATTTTTCGTACATTATTATTTTTATTATTATTTCGTACAGACTTCACGGTTGGTGCGGTGGCTGGGCAACCGGCTGTCGTACAACGTATCGCGGGTTTTATTCCCGCACGGAACAACACTTTGTGTGATCCACAAATTGTTGTTTCGGGTCTGCGTGTAATGTGTATGTGAACTTGTATGTTTGTAAAAGCACCCACGACACAGGAGAAAATCCTAGTGTGGGGCAACGTTTTTTTTCAACAAAATTTCAACAAAAAAAAATATGAAGCATACTAAAATAATATGTGTGTATGCAATGACGTGAACTATTCTGGAAATGCTCTCTCATCATCAAGATTTTTATCCCTGAAGAGGGCAGAAGTGCACATTACGACACTTAATGTCACTGTACAATGTAACACCCACTTTTCACAATTTATATTAGTCTCTTGCAATATGGGGTGAGCATACTGAGAGATATGAGAGCCTATCGGCAAAAGCTCGTTTCAAGTAATACCGGGACTCATATTCATAAGCATGCTGCGTAGAGCTCTTCCCGAAGAGTTCAAGTGATTCTAATGCCAGAGACAATACCAACGGAGGAAAAATTTTGAATTTTTTAACACTTCTTCCACACAAAAATTCAACAATTTAATTTTACGAATAAAAATAATCTGTTGCTTGAGAAATCTGCCTGAAGTGATATTAATATAATCCAAAAGTATGTAGCGGGATCTACGGTAAAAGATCAACCAGATTTTTTTTGCTTGTGTGTCAGACTCTTGCTGACTAAAAGACACCCCGTTCCTTCTCCTGCGCTTCGAGCCGGAGCCCCGTTAGGTTCTCAGCGACATGGGGTATGATATGGTGGTATTACATAGGACTGATGGAGCTAATATGCTAACTGGTGAAAATGGGTTTTACATTATTGGTAGGTTACATATATACATTTATCGATATTTTTTTAACGTTGCCCCACACTAGGATTTTCTCCTGTGTCGTGGGTGCGTTTACAAACATACAAGTTCACATACACCTGACAACCAGACTCGGAACAACAATTTATGGATCATACAGAGTTGGTCCATGCGGGAATCGAAGCCGCGACACGATGCGCGGCAGCCGGTTGCCCAGCCACTGCACCAACCGTGCCGTCTCTTTCCAAATCTTTGATTTATTAAAAAACATGACATTTTTTTTATAGCATAAGCCGGTAAATGAACAGAAGGATCACCTGATAGTAAGCAATCGGCGTCGCCCATGGACACCTGGAACACCAGAGGCGTTACAAGTGCGTTACCGGCCTATTGTGGAATTAGGAGTTTGAGGATCGCTGGGGATTCAGGAATTGGGGAGATTGGGGAAGGGGAGGGTAATTGGGCCTCCGGTAACCTCACTCATACGACGAAACACAACACAAGCGTTGCTTCACGTCGGTTTTCTGTGAGGCCGTGGTATCACTCCGGTCGAGCCGGCCTATTCGTGCCGAAGCATGGCTCTCCCACACTTAAAACCACATATCCTATTACATACAGTGTTGACTTACCACTAGTATAAATAATGAGAGCTTCATTGTTCCCGTACCACTCATTACTTTTTCCAACATCAGTCAAATTGTTTTCGGCTTTTGGTTTCAAGAATGAAGTATTGGGCTGGTACAATTGTGCAGTCAGGACATTATCTCTACCCATTACCAACAGTGGTTTGTTCATCTCTAGAGTTATGGGCCGAAGAACTTTCTCGAATTCTTGTGTACATAGTACTAAGCTTGAATAACTGTCTGTTAGATAGTACTTCAACATTTCTGGTGGGTGTAGTGGTGTTAGGGGTACCGCTGGAAGAGAAAAATACAATTATTAAATTAGTATAAGAGGAAGAGTATACTATTACCAAAAATAATACATCTTCTGACTAATCTTATACTATTATATAAAGCGGAAGAGTTTGTTTTTGTTTGAACGCGCTAATCTCCGTAACTACAAGTCTGATTTGAATAATTCTTTTTGTGTTGGATAGCGCATTTACAGAGGATCGCTATAGGCTATAAAACATCACGCTACGACCAAAAGGAGCTGAGCAGAGCGTGTGAAACCGCGCGGAAGTAGTATCATTATAAACTAGCTGTTGCCTGCGACTTCGTCCGCCCAGAATATGATTCCTGTTTTATCTCATAGGAGCATTTAATCGGCATAGAATATATCCTATCACTTAAGTCAGCGCATACCCTGCCCGTATACCGAATTTCATCAAAATCCGTTCATTAGATTCAGCGTGATTGACGGACAAATATCTAAATAGAAACTTTCACAAGACTATGGCACCTGCCGAAACAATGTAATAATAATATAAACACGTAAAAATTATTAGTATTACATTGCCTCGTTGGTCAAGTGGTCGCAAGTGAGACTTTTAAACCCTACATCTCAAGTTCGTCAGATCATAACATAAAATGACGCCTTTTATCCCCGAAGGGGTAGGCAGAGGTGCACACAGAAGTAACACCCACTTTTCACTATTTATGTTATGACCCGGGTATCGAACCCGAGAACCCTTGGCCGGCAGCCGCACTTGCCACCACTCGGCCAACGAAGCAGTCCGTTAGAATAGATATAGGAAAATCGTTAGAATATTATTCGGAAAGACAGTTTTTTAGTATTAGGTATAAAAACTTCTTGGACAACCCAATCTAACAAGCATACGATAATTTGGCGTCCACGAAAATGCGAATTAACACTTTACTGTTAAAATATTCTTATAGCTAGTTTAAGGAGTAACTCATATATATAGGTACTATTTTACGGTATTTATTTTTTTTAAAGAATACTTCGGGCGTGATTTACAATCAATACCGAAGCTAAATATATGGCTTTTGGAATTTTTGTCTGTTTTTCTGTCTGTATGTCCGGGATAATCTCAAAAAGTACTAGTTTACTTCAAATTTTGCGTCGGTCGAGTCTACATATAGGCTACATATTATCACGCTATCATCTACGGGGGAGGAGCTATGAATGACTATTCCACGCGGACAAAGTCGCGGGCACAGCTAGTAACTTATAATTTTAACAGTATCACAATTGTTTTATGTATAATGGATAGGATTGGCTATAGACACTAACGAATGACCAATAAATACCTTTACTTATCAATGCAACATTTAAATCTATATATATAAAAGCAAGTCGTGTTAGTTAAACTATTTATAACTCAAGAATGGCTAAATCGATCGATAAAAATTGGCAGGGAGGTAGCTTACAACCAGGACACGGACATAGAATACTTTTTATCAAATACCTTTTTTACTTTTTACCGAAAATAACGAAAGCGAAAAATCGGATTTACGCGTACGAAGTCACGGGCAGAAGCTAGTTATTTAATAATGTAACCTTTATTAAAGCATCACCTAGCTTTACTGACTGAATAGTCTGTCAAAAGTACCAGTCTATGGTTTAAACTGTCAAACAGCGCGTGGACACCGGTGATCGCAACCTATTGTTCTTTAATTGTGTCTATAATGACGACACTCAACGAGTTAACTGAATTAAATGCTTACACTTTGACTTTGCATTTAGGTTTCAGTTCATGTTAAAATTGAGTAGCGTTCGAGTACTATAAAAAAACATTACTGTAACTTCAAATTCTTTGTCAAAATAACAGAGATACCACAATATTTAAAAATAATGTTATCAATTTATTTTAAACGTGCCCCACACTATATAGTATTTTCTCCAGTAGCTGCGTTTACACACATACAAGTGTATCCGACAATGACACCCAGACCCGGAACAACAAATTGTGGATCACTCAAAGAGTTGTTCAGCCAGTCTGTGGGCGTTGGGCGTCTACCCAAGAGAGGGTTTGTAATAATCGCCACGCTTAGCAGTCGGCAAATATATAACTCACCGATATTCCCAGTCATCCAAATTGCCCACTGCGCGATGACGTGCGACGCATCATTGTTGCACATGTATGCAATTGTTCTGTCTGATTCGCCAACTGAAAGGGACAAAAAATTAAGTTATTGAGAGTAAACACAAGTAGGAGAAATAGTAATTATTTCTCGCTCTCATATTCTTTCTCACTCAGTTCGATACATTTCCTACTATGTTTCTCTTCTTCTCTTTTATCAGTTCTTCAAAAGAATAGTAGGTAAAAAGAAGGCATGTAAAATGTCAAGAAGATCAAAGCTTAAAGAGGTAGACAACAATTATACCATATTATTTTCACATTGTAATATTAGGGCGAAGTTCCATTTGTCCGTAGCGCTGCGTCGCGTCGTCACAGCGTCGTTTTCCATATATCTTTTTATGTCAAGCCCCATTACATAACGCAGTGCAACGGACAAATGGGGCCTCGCTCTGAGTTGAGATTATTTATTAACTTACCCAACTGCGCAGCGATCTCCTGTGACAGCACGGAGGCTGCCTGGTAGAGGCCAGCGTACGTGTATATGCCAAGCTCATCTTGTAAGGCTACCCGCGTCGGGAACAATAAGGCTCTGCGAAATACTGGCACTGCACCACCTGCAAAATAAAAATAAGATGTTAAAATTGATGACTGTGATGGACTATGTTTTTATAGGTAAGCAATCGGCGCTGCTTTAAGACACCCGCAATCCCAAATTGTCAAATCCCGTATTGTGCCCAAAGCATAGTACACAAATACCAGGACAGACTGACAGACTATTATTTATTTTGTATTTGTTGACGTTTCAAAAGTACCAAATTATTTTTTTCTCTTCTTTGGCAACCGAGTCTCCACAATGGTGTTGTCGACTATACTGCCAGTGTCGAGTGGTGACGGCAAAATTATAAGTACCAAATTATGGTTTAATTGAAATAAATGATTTGACTTTGACTTTGACGAGACTCAGAACATTGTTAATACCTAAAACGTCACGTATATTATATCTTTTAAGATTAATTCAGTTTGACGTTATATCAAAAAGATGAAAGATATCTACCCACGTAAGAGATACCTATTAAAATGATATGGATGTCACATGAACGATAAGTTTGTTAATGCTTATCATCATCGAGAATTAGTTCATGCTGTAATCTGTGCTCAGAGGCCTTAGTACGAGTTTGTTTTACGTTTAAAGTAATCGTAACGAGTACGCATTCGGCGCTTTGATTGGTTGGTTCTTTAGAGGCGGCCAATCAGAGGCCTTAGTACGAGTTTCCATTACGTTTAAAGTAATCGAAACAAGTAAGTGTTCGCCGCTCTGATTGGCTGGCTCCAATGAACTAACTAATCGGAGAGCTGAAGGCAGTCTCGTTTCGATTACTTTAACGTAAAACAAACTCGTACTAAGGCCTCTGTACCTTAGTACAAATATATGATATCTTTGAATGTGATGTTGGATGGTATGCAAGTATAAGAATGTTCATGGGCAGTGGCGAATTAAATCTAAAGAGCGCCCTAGGTAAGCACGTTATAAGCGCCCCTCATTTTTTTTGGTATTCGCCACTACATTATACCCGTCTCGCAGCGTCACAGCGTCCCTCGCCTCCCCCCTTAGGGATAATACGGCTCTGGTTAATCATGTCTACTAACCAGCTACTAAAATTACACAACTACTATGAAGTTTAGTGTTTAAAGTTCGATGGTACTTTAGTCTTCTGCTGCCATTAATGCTCTTTAGCTCTCTGGCAGTACCGTTGACAAAAAAGTACATACATGTACCTATATGCTGACAATGTGGTAGCTAAAACATTATTTCCTAATATTATCACAACACTTCAGATATTGTTTTTAAAAACATTATTTTCAAACACTGATAACAACTTACCTAACAGATAAAATACTTTATATTTTACGTAATGCAAACATTACTTATAAATATACTAGCTATTACATGTGGCTGCGCTTTACTCCATAATATAAAAAATTACATACCAGTGATTCCAGTAATATAGTATTATAGATGCAGATTGTGAAGATTCAATATGTTTGTTAGACTTTGAAATAAAAATTACCAAATGGATATGCATAGAATAAGACTAATGCCTGCACATAACACAGACTACTGCAGCCAGAAGCGCAGATAGAAGCTTTTTGGAGTATAACAAACAAAAAAAAAGATTTATCATAATCAATATTTTTCAGTAGTTGTAACATGGTTGTATACATTTTGACTGTTTAATTTAGATTACGATTGTGATTAACTTTTTATGACTTTATATTCATTTTAATTTTACATATTTAAGATTTTAAAAATTATTCTGACTCCTAAATATTGCTCAATTTAACTTAATTTTATCTTACATTGCAATGCCTATAATAAAATAAATACATTTGTCATTTCATTACCTAACTTACGGACTAATTATATTTTTAATGTATGAAGATTAAAAACCTTTCAACGTCCCAATTGTGTTTACCACCTAGTCATAGAATAAGGTAATGAGTACTGAGTATTTCTGAACTAAAAGAAAGCAGATAATTTTATACATGTGGATGTCATAATGCAGTAAAGATAAAAATACTTATCTAAGCCTCACCTATAAATATTGTACAATAAAGATTTGATGAAAGCATCACAAAGAAATCAAAAGTGTTCAGCTGTTTTGATTTCATATACAAACATCTTTAGATTTTTCTAATATTGCCCTGAGCTAGGATGTGCTCCTAGCATGGGCCTGTATGGTGGCTAGCACTCATCAGGTCAATGTATCCTTTTATGTAAATTTTTTTTTTCTTTAATAAAATGTACTTTTAATTTAAAAAAATGTTAAGTAAAAACGCGGGTTACTCATGTGAATATGAGAAAAGCTCTACAAGTTTCGAACCACAGATTTCTTCCTCAAAAAAAAATGTATTTTAATTGTCTGTATTATATCTTCAACTTTATTGGGTAGACATAAAATCAAAAATCCAATGAATAAATTTGACAAATTAGAGTAGGTTGATCTACTGGCCACTGTACAAACTCATTGCACATCACACCTAGATATAATAGTACAAGGAATAATTTAGTCTCCATGGAAACTGAATTGACAATACCTTTCTTCCTACTGTTTTGCACACTTGCTACCTTGCAAAGGGGTAGGCAGAGGGGCACACATATGGTAGTAAGATCCACAAACCTGTGACCCATTTTATAAGTGTTATGAGTAGAAATATATACAAAAACTTAATAAACCTTCCATATTCAAATAAATAACTTAAAACTAAAATAAAAAGACTAAGATATAATTAAAAATAAATCTGAATATACCCAAGTATTTGAGTGAACAGTTTCTGCACCTTTCAAGTTTCAAGATCATTATGTCATGTTTTAGTTGAAAAACATACATTAAACCCTTAAAGGCGGGGGACATACATATACGAGAGACACAATGTGTTTTCTATTGTGCCTCACATGCCTGTAGATAAGGGTTTAAGAATGAATGGTGCATAATTTTACATAACCATTTATATTTTTTCCATACATTTTCTATGACATCCAATATAACAAAAGTCAAAAAGATAGTAATAGAAATAGCTTTTAGCTGGCTGGCTTTTAAATAAGAGGCATAAGGTTATTACCCGCTACAGCTTCCAAATCAGTGGTATTTTATAAGTTAGGTACTCAATATATCTACAATGTAGATGTCTAAAGTAAAGCTCACTGAGTACATATTATACAGAATCCATTAGCTTTTAGTAACTACAGATTACAGAATGACTACAAGTAATATTAAGCGAGACATTGAAAGCCAAACCGGTTACTAAACAAATACATGAATATAAAAATAAAAAAAGATGAGACAATCTAAGAAGGTTCTAATATAAGACAGAAGAATAGACAAATATTGCGATTTATAAATTCCATTCTGATGTAATATGAATAAAATATGTCGAAACCACTTACCGTTCTGTATATCCCGGTTAAATACATTTAGCAACTCTGTATTAACTTCTTCCTTTACTGCTGTGCCCGTTACACTCCTATGAGCTACGATTCCTAAAGGTTTTCGTAAAAGCCGGTTAAAAGTCCTGACGGTACGTAAACTTAATTCCATTGTAAACTAAAGGTAAAATAGACTCTGAATATATTAAGTCAGCCTTGACGTGCCCACCATGGAAACAAAAGTAAGGTTTGAGCTCAATTTTATTATATTTTTGTGGAAAGATAAGGCGAAGACACCGAGATAAAAGGTTATTTTCGAAATGACAGTCGATTAGACAAACAGCTGACAGACTGACATGTGACACCAGTCATGATGACAATGACAAGTATCAAAACTATCTTTCTATGGGCTTTGTATTCGATCATCTGTTCGATTATTTTTATTATTTTATTAGCACTAATAATTAAAAGTTTTGGTTTATAGGACCTCGAATGGATGCGACATGCGAAGACGTGCTTCTCATGGTGGATAGGCGACCTAACAAAGATGGCAGGGAGTCGCCCAAACTGTGAAAGTCATTAGGTTATAATATGCGTATGCGTAATTAGGTTCCTCAGTTGCTTCATTTATAGTATACCATATAAATGTCTTTGGTTGGAAGCAAGTTATCATGATTATATACGCTATTTTTACTAACCATAACCAGCATAATAAACTCTTGTTGCTAACATTATTTCTATTGTCTATAGTATTTATGACTGTTTCTTGACAGCTCCACAACATTTCTGTGAGCTTCAGTCTGTCTGTCTGTCAGTGAGTTTATTTTTTAAGCACTCAGCGCTGTGTTTGTTCGTACTTCTATTATCTAGTTTGGTAAATGTTCAAAGAAATAAACGTGTTATTATAGACAAAAATGGTAGTAAACGCACCAGATTCGCCTGTTCAGGCTGAAGTAATCTTCGTGATAGAGGTTACGGCAGCGAACGGCGCGTATATTGGCGAACTTAAAACAAACTATATTATTCCTACGTTAGAGTGAGTTTTTGATTAACTTCTTACTTATTTTTAAGTTTGTATGAATAATTGATCTCGTTTATTGACTGTTGTCCTAAAAATGGTCTCAAAATATGTGTAAAAAATGTATTTTTTGACTCACGTGGTCAGTTTTGTAACTTTGAGCCTACCCTTTACTATAAAATATGTTATTGACATCTCATCAACTAATTTAAAATGTTTACAATATAGTTAAACATATCCAAATAGATAATAAACAAACAATGAACATAGTTGTACATAATAAAGTCTGATAATTAATTTGTTATCAACTAATTATTTATTGGTGTTGTGAGGCCCTACCTCACAACACCAATAAATTATCCTTATTGTAGTAATTTTAGTAATCAATAATATGTAGAAAATAATATTACGATATACATGACATAAATTATAAATGTGCACATAACATAACATCAATCTTTTATCCTCGAAGGGATAGTCAGAGTTGCACATTATGCCACTGTACAATGTAGCACCCACTTTTCACTATTTATGTTATGAGTCCCATGTAATAGGCGGTGAGCCTATTGCCGTATACTGGGCACAATTCCAGACTCCGTGCTACTACTGAGAATAAAAAAAAAACCAGTATTACTTTGCGCAACCCGGGAATCTAACCTCTTGTTCGGCAGTCGTGCGACCACTCGGCCAACAATATTTTAAAATAAAATAATTTATTTCCTACCATTTCAGATATTTCCATGGAGGTGCATTAGAAGAAGGAGGTGGTAACGGATCAGTGTATGCAATAGTTACGTATAAGACGTCTGACGTCCACCCTGGCATACCCGTTGGTACCTTCGGACCTTTCACTTGTCCGCAAACAGTATTGGAGACCGTTGACAAAATACAGTAAGTGGATATACATCTTTTTTGTCTTTAAAGCAGTTACGCAGTACCTTTTTTACTTATAAAACTTAAAAGTCTTAAACTCATGGAAATTAATTAACCGATTTTAAACGAAAGTTGATAATTATTCACAAATCTATTCTCTTAGTTAAAGTATATTTCCTACCAAAGGACAGAATGGAGAGCATAATAACATATTTATTCTTTACATTTCTATTTATGTCACCGAAAGTTTTACTTTAATGCATGTTTTTTTATTTTATTCTTGTATTAATATATATTCATTTTATTTTGAGAAGATTCTCACAAGGAGATGGAAGAAACATGATACATAACTGTAGCAAACATTACACATAGTAATAAGATAGTAACAGGATAGTAACAGGCTCATAATCTTTTTTTCTTTTTCAGGTTTGTCGGTGGTCACATAGAAAACAAAGCATGTATGACGGAAGCGTTAGCGACTGCACTCGATTGTTTCGATGACCTCGGCCGTACTGATTTGCCAATGCACTTGCTACTACTCTGCTGCTCACCACCCTACTCAGCATATGGTGGAGGCCTGGTGCCACCTGGTATGTCAAAATTATTTTATTTTTGTCACATTAAGCATCATTTTTGTTTGCCATAATAGAACCATTTACAGAATTTTGAATGTTAAACGATTAACCCGTTGAAAATTGTTGAAAAACTTCCCCTAAAACTGTTCATACAAAGTAGTCCCTAAACATTGTAAATCCTTACTTCCTTACTTATATTATGAATTGGAAAGTGAGTTTGTTTGTTTGTTTGTTCCGCTTTCACGCCGTAACTACTAACTACTACTTTTTGCAGACGGAAAAATTTGATATTCCTGAGGGAAAACAAAAGTATTGGTATAGATGGCGTTGTGTGTATAGGTATACTAGCGACCCTCCCCGGCTTCGCACGGGTGTAATATGTATATACATACAAACCTTCCTTAAGAATCACTCTATCTATTAAAAAAAACCGCATCAAAATCCGTTGCGTAGTTTTAAAGATCTAAGCATACATACGGACATACAGCGAAAGCGACTTTGTTTTATACTATGTATTGATGTCACATAGGCTACTTTTCATCCTTATGTGACGCGAGCGAAGCCGCGGGTAAAAGCTAGTAAGGTCTATAATGTAGTTAGTGGAGAGTGGTCACCGGTGACTGCTTGGGAATATACAGGTTAATGAAATAAGATATCTAGTTTTCTAAATGGACTTGAATTTTCTCCCGTGTCTAGGAATGCATAATTTTATACACATTATAACACACAGATCTGGAACAACAATAAAAAGTGTTAGAACTTCTCTGTCGTTTGACGATGTTTTTCTGATCTATGTGTATCATAATCCATGATCAACTACAAGTATCTGTATACTTGCGTACAAAAAATCGGGTGCAGCTGTGCCGGGGCACACGGCCGTCGGATTTAACGAGAAACGTCTATGTTAGCGACAAGCGAGAACGCCGGTTTCGCACAATTAACGCAGTATCCCTCCCCCGCCGCCCCGCTCGAACTCAATGTCATAACAGCGAGCTGACTATATAAGTGAAATATTCACACCACATTTGTTTTTTAATTATTAAGGTACGATGATATAGACCTTTTCGTTACGGGTCACTTTTGATACCTGGTACCCGTATGTTTCGGGGCTAATTTAAAATCGTTTCACATTAAAAAATCCTTCTTTAATATTATTTTTTTATTCGGTCAGGTGCACCAGCGACAGTGGAGCAAGCAGCACGTATGTTGGCAGAGCGCGGCGTACAAGTATCGATAGCGTCTGCTCGCCGCTTCCAACAACTGCATGCGTTGTATGAAAACGCTGGTGGGGAACTACATCAAGCACAACAGAGGAATTATGCTAAGGTAGGACTACACTCTCAGGCACGTCGGGTTCCGCGCGCACCCCAACGAGTCATAAGAATACTACAGATGGGGTCAAATAGGGCTATTACCTAATACGAAGCCACGGAATGCCTAACGAGTTACCGGGGCTCCGGCTCGAAGTGCAGGAGTAGGAACGGTGTGGTTTTTATTCCCTGAAGTCGTAGGCAGAGGTGCACATTACGGTGCGGTAGTGACACTCACTTTTCACTATTATATGTTATCAGTCGCATGTAATAGGGAGTGAGCCTATTTTTTTATGTCATAAGCAGCGTAAACGAGCAGACGGATCACCTGATGGTAAGCAATCGGCGTCGCCCATAGACACTTGGAACACCAGAGGCGTTACAAGTCTGTTACCGGCCTTTTGGGGATTAGGATTTTGAGGATCGTTGGGGATTCAGGAATTGGGGAGATTGCGGAAGGGGAGGGTAATTGGGCCTCCAGTAACCTCACTCACACGACGAAACACAACGCAAGCGTTGCTTCACGTCGGTCTTCTGCTCGGCCGTGGTATCACTCCGGTCGAGTTGGCCCATTCGTGCCGAAGCATGGCTCTCCCACACAGTGTGCAAACTCTGTGCGACTACTGAGCTGGCTTAATATTATCTTATGTTATATTATCTTATGTTATGTTATAGGATCCCCGGCACTTGGTGTTATTACGTGGTTATAGTCTGAAAGAGAGGCCGCCAAGTCCCGCTCCACCTCCGGTCCCTGATATACAAGCTGATGTCTACGGGTATGTATTCATTTATTTATTTACTTGAGCTTTACACATAAAAGTACGACAGGGAGTTCATGCTTACACATTGGAACCCAAATGGTCGCGTACAACTGGGTTTCAGAGGAATTTCCTCCCACGAACCCTCCGATTGTGGAATGAACTGCCTGCCATGGTTTCCCCAGTAGGCTACAACTACAACATGGGGTTCTTCAAGAAGAGAATTAGTAGGTTTTTCATTAAGGTCATTAAGACGCATGTAATGCCCAAGTGTAGCAAGCGTACATAGGCCACGGTAACCGCTTACCATCAGGTGGTCCGTGTGCTATTTTTGCCACTGTCGGTGTATAAAAAAATGATGGAACAAAGTACAATAAGAAATTGTAAAGGATGGAAGGAAAAAATAGAAGGAGGAACCATTGTTCTTCACTACATAGTATAAAACAAAGTCGGTATCCGCCGTCTGTCTGTCCCTTTGTATGCTTAGGTCTTTGAAACTACGCAACGGATTGTGATGCAGGTTTTTTCTATAGATAGAGTAATACTTAAGGAAGGTTTATATGTATAATACATATATGTAACATATATGTGAACGTTGTGTCTAGTTATATACATATTTATGTGCTATTAACTAATAATAATATGTATATAAAATGACCCCTTATTATATAGGGACCATTGACAATATGTGTTGCATAATTTGATCTCTCTGCGTGCGATGCTTTATTGTTTCGTGCTCAAAAAACAATGTTATTAAACTGTCAAACACCAAGCGGTCACCGGTGACCGCAACCTATTGTTCTATAATTGTGTCTACA